AACACAGATTATACACCTCAGTAACATCAATTCATTGCGATATCTTGGGCAGAAGGTCGACTTGAAAGACGACTTGCTAAAACAAAGAAAGTAAACTTCTTTCATTTAACATGTTCAGCGACATACAGCCTAGGCCAGGGGTCTCCGACTCCGGTCCTGGAGAGCTACTGTCCAGTAGGTTTTCTATCCTACCCGGTTTCTGATGAGTCACACCTATACTCAAGTAAATACCAGGAGCAGGTGTGGCTCATCAGAAGCCAAGTAGGATAGAAAACCTACTGGACAGTAGCTCTCCAGGACCGGACTTGGAGATCCCTGGCCTAGGCAGATAGCACACAACTTATAACAAAGCATGAATCTAATAAGACTAATCAAGGACCAGAAGTGCAAGATAAAAACATTGTGGGGATGTATGGAGGCATTCGGCTAGTACCTGGTTTTTGATCTCCGTGGTGGAGATGGGACACGCTGCCTCGGTGTACCACAGGAAGGTAGCAGTGCAGTTCTGGATCATGATGAAACGCGGCCTAGAAGACTAGAAGGAAAATAAAAAGGATTTAATACAGTGCAGTGATCTGGGCTCAAAAGCAGCAAAGTCAACAGGAGACGACAGGAGGGATGCAGGTACCCACAGGAAAGCAGTGCTAGGAAGAGGAGGCAGAGGCAGGTCGAGGCCCCCGAGGCGGTAAGGCAGCTTACCCGCTCGCCTCTGAGGCACAGCAGGTGGATGCGGGTGGTGTAGTTGGCCTTCTGACCCGCGAACACGCAGGCGGAGCCTCCTGTGTACTCCAGCAGGAGCTGCTCCTTGCCCAGAAACACGGGGCCTTTCTCCGCCACGCCCAGGTTGCTGATGGACACGCTCTCCGTCTCAGCACCCTGCCACACCACCGAGAGATGAGCGTTAACTCCTGGCTCACCGCGAGCGGGAAGCACGGCGCCCAGGCAGCCCGGCGGCGGACGCTGACCTCCTGCGACTCGCACCGCGCCTCGCAGACGGAGGCGGAGCGGTCGCAGCCCGGCACGGCACTCAGGGGACGGCACACGTTGATGTAGTACTTCCTGTTAGTCGCCGCATCGAAGGTCTGCCAGTTCTTGGCACCAAAGCCCTCAGCCCTGGACAAGCTGGACAATATATGAGGGACAATGAACAGCTGGAGACACATGCATACAAGATACGACTTAGAGGAGACATGATGTTTATAGCCTGGAGAAGATTTGCTTGTGAGTGCGGCTCGATTCTGAGTGCGGCTCGATTCTGAGTGCGGCTCGATTCTGAGTGCGGCTCGATTCTGAGAGCATCCGAACTGGTTACAAATGACATATAACATTAGAAAACTAGATGATATAATATTAAATTGCCTGAGATATTTACCAATAAAACAATAAAAACAATAAATACAAATATATGGTATTAAATAAAAGGGACAGTCCGAACTTTTATACACCCCCAGGGGCACGTACATGTGGTGGGGGCTGGGGGTGAATTAGCACCTGCCCCCGTCACCTGACAGACTGAAAGTGCCCCCATTCAGTGTTCCAACCGCCTTTTTTAGGCAACCAACGATCATGCAAAATCTTGTGATAAAGGCACAAATGGGATCTTCTGCCAGTTTTTTTTTTTTATCATTAAAATACAAATACAGATAAAATATCCTCCCTCATTTCACACTGCTATAATACTAAGGGCTCAGTTCCGCCCATGCAACACCGGGCTGATTTAGCAAAACGAATTTGCGGGTCAAAGCTCATCTAAATGCACATCACCGCCCAGACGGTGTTTATACTTCCCACTCTTCACCTCACAGTCTCTCACAGAGAGAGGCAGCATATTAAGAAATGCTAACACTCACCTGGATAGGTCATACTGCTGCAGGGTGTTTGGGTCCGTCACCAGGCACTCGATGACCTTCTCCGGGCAGGCGTACGAGGTGTACCACTTGAAGTTGTAAGTGAACAAATCCTCCACCTGTGATTCCCCAGAGAGCAGTTGGTGGCAGCAGAGATTATCAGCACCCATCACAAATCCTGATGGATGTTAACCCTAAAAAACTAGTAGCCATGACTTTGCCTGGTACTGACCCAGAGCATGACTTTGCAGTAATTAGTGTTCCATCCTCAGCCAATGTCAGTAGAGTGTAATATTCTGGGTACGACGCACCTTCATACGCATCACCTGATTGGTGGTATTAGGGGGCCTCACCTGAAACTCGGGCTGGCCTACTCCCGCTTGGTGGTCGCAGAGGAAGGAGATGAGTGCTGACCGGCGTGTGTGCTTCTCGTCGTTGTACTGGGAGCCGTTCTGATAGGTCAGCTTGATCATGCCGTCGTAGTAGGACAGCTTAGAGTTGAACTCCCCAAGACTCCACGACTTCCCGCTGCAGGATGACAAAGTCCGTTATGACCAAAGGCATCATGACCCCTGGCTTCTTCCAGTGGTACTCAGCAGATATATGGGACTCTCATATACAACCGTGTGAAAGTGGAGGTGCAAGTTACATTGAAAAAATGTAGTTTAACAGTTTAGAATAGGTGCTCCCAGCCCCCAGTCTAGTATCCCACCAGGCCTCAACGCACTGAAAAATAAAATACAGTGGCACCTCAGAACTCGAACTTAATCCGTTCAGAACTCCAGATCGAATCCTAAAAAGTTCGAGTTGTGATCGAATTTTCCCTATAAGAAATAATGGAAAACCAATTAATTGGTTCCCGGCCCCAAAAAATTACACCTAAATATGTTTTTTTTTTTAGCATTTAAACACAAAATGAACCGGGTAAAACATGAAGAGCATATACTGTACTAAACACATCTAAGCACATTTATCAAAACAGTAATTTGTAAAGTAAGAAAATAAATGTATCCAAACAATGTGTCCTGCGCACCCCGATTGTCCGCTCCATCCGTGTGCCACGCCCCCCCCGTTAACCCCATGTGGAATCCCCGTGTGATCAGCTGTTTCATCATTAGCCCTCTGTATTTCGTCCGCGTTTCAGTTTGTTTCCCCAGTCCGGTCATTGTATTGTCCGTCTGCGTTTTGCCTGCCTTACCTGTAATTAAACCCCGTATTCCCCGATACCCTGATGTCTGCGCCTTTGTCTCCATGCCGTCCCCGCTGGGCATGACAATATTATTATAATTAAACGTATTAATGGTTTATTATTAATATTAAAATGAACAAGAAATCTTTATTTTTAAATGTATTTTATTATAATAATAATTACTGTTACTGTCTATCATTGTCTAAATGTATTTTTACTGTCTAAATATATGTATTCAGCTAGTGTAAACATGCACGATGCTGAGTGCGAGGCTGAGACTGAAGCGTTACCCTTTGTTTCCGCTGAGAGACGTGCCACGTGACTCATTTCCCCGCGCGTACAAGTCGGCGTTCACGGTTTGACTTCTGAGATTCAGATCGAGCTCTAGGTAATTTTTTTTCGAACTGGTTGGTTCGACTTTTAGTAAATTCGAGTTCTAATGAGAGTACCACTGTATTGTGTCCTGTATTGAGGCGCAAAAACACACGATTTGCCCTGTATTCCCACACACATTGCAATGAAGAGCGCAGCCAATCATAGCCCTGTTTTTCTTACTACCATGTGATTTACATCTGACATCAACTGAGCTCTTATGCAAACACCTTGCTTAGCTGAAGAACCCCTCACGAAGTGAACAGTGAGCTGAGCCACTACTACATGCTATAAGGGAAGTGGACAGTTCCACTGGCAGGTGGGGAGCACGAAAACTTGCCTTTTGTCTACCTGGCAGGCCCCCGCGTTTTTGGGACAGGATGGGACAGAGACGTTTTGACAGATGTTGAGAAAGTAGGTGTAGTCCCCGTCGGAGGTGTTGTAGACGTCACCGTGCTTGGTCAAAGGTGAGAGGTCAAAAGAAAAGCCTGCAAGGAGGGGGCAGGAACATATTATTAAACTTCCACTGTGGTCACATCAAGAAATAATCTAAATAAGCCTCACGATGCTTTCTGTAGGTGGCCCAATACATTTGCGAGCCCAGAAGATTCCACATCTCAAAAGACAACCACATGCACACCTCTGAGACCAGCACATGGCCACCGCGGTCACATGACCTACCGGCCTGAGGATCCGACACCTGGCAGCCGTCACCCTCTGCCTCGGACCGGACGCAGGCGGCGGCCGTTTGCCACTCAAACTCGTACTCACAGCCGTCGGCAGACACACTGCGCAGCTGGGGGGGGCTCTCCAGGTCACCTGCACACAAAGAGGGAGGGGGGGGGGATATGGTTGAGAGTGGCAACACAGCACTGCACACGACCAGCAATGTGATGAGAAAGACAGAGAGAGAGAAAGCGAGAGTAAGTGAGAATGCAGGGGAGAGAAAGAGAAAGACAGAAAGAGACAGTGAGAAAGAACGAGAGAGAAAGAGAATGAGAGAGAATATAGGCCATGGACAAAGAGAAAGAGAGAATATGGGAGATGGACAGAGAGAGAGAGAATCAGAATGAGGGAGAGAAAGAGAATCAGAGACAGATAGAGAGGAAGTAAGGAAGGAAGGAAGGAACTCAGAGGTGAGCAGTGTTTAACGTAAAATCTCCGGAAATGTGCAACACCTGGTTTGCAGAACAGAATAATGGTGGTTGTTATCTTCTTTTTCCCGGTACAGATGTCGCCCTCGGTGTACACCAGATAAATACTTTTATCCCTCTTTTGGGGGGCAGACAGGAATTTGCCCAAACTGGTGGTTTTTTCCTTTCCTAGGGAAATAAGAAAAAAAAGCCAGTTCATCACTCAACACTGCACTCTTCCAGTTCATCACACAACACTGCACTCTTCCAATACACATGCACAGACTTGTGCTCCACTGGAACGTAGGCTGGACTGATACTTTGGGAATAACAAGCTGAAGAGCAATGCATAATTCAGTATAAAACTCTCTCGGTACTGGCCACTCACTGGAAGCGCAGGCTAGCAGGACCAGAACATTAAGACGGGTCCCTGACAGCTGAATGCTACAATGTTGCTTTGGAGAAAATCATCTAGTAAACAATTAAACGCAATTTGAATATAATGTATATTTCAGATAGTTATAAACATGAACAGGCATTCATGTCGGGTATTTTTCTGGCATGTGCCCCCCAGTTCTTAAAATATGAAGCTGACCGCGGCGGGCACAGATGGCAGCGTCCTCAGGACAGCCCGACGCTGCCCCCTGCTGGAGGACCCGGTGGCACACGTTGATGTAGAATCGCCTGCCGTCCGACTCTGGGACGCCACTCTCAAGTGCCTCCCAGTTCTGGACTCCCTCGGACTCTGAAACACAGGCGAGCGTCGACGTGAGGCCGTAACCCAGGCCAGCGCAGAGATGTGACCGGCTGTGCCGATTAATACTGCCACACAAAGGCAAAACACTGCAACTGCATATTATACCGGAATCGAGTTATGACTGAAATGGGGTCTCAGCCTCTGTTTCATCTATAGACACAATATCTTCGATCAGCTATGCTCGGTTGTGAAGAAAACACTATTATTTATCTACCGCAGGATAAACAGAAGCGCATTTTAAAATTTTCTAAATAAACAAAATTAAGTAAGTGTAAAGATCTAAAGAATAAGGAAAATGAGAGGTAGTGCAAACCACTTTTGATTATTTTAGCCGCACGGCATGGATGAGACACTCGATCGACGCTTAAGCGAATGTGTCACGCATGCCAAGCTTTAAAGTGGCTGTCTTGATCGCTGCCATCGAGAAGCGCCGCTCACCCGGGGACCGCAGGAGAGGTGACAAGTTGTAGTGCTCTTTGCCGCCAGACACTGAGCAGATGAGGTCTTCCTTTTCCTTGACACACGCGTACATCGTCTGCCAGTTGAAGTAGTACGTGCAGTCACTCTCCCCCGTAAACACCGGCGATCCTTTGCCGTCATTTCCTACGAGACGCATCGGGACCAATCAGAATCATTAATGAGTACCAGGAATGGTGACTGGTCTTGAAGGAGCTTACGGAAATTACCATTTGGGTGGCACAGTGGATTGCACTCTTGCCTCATAGCACTAGGGTTGGGGTTTGAGTCCCGTTTCTGCTCTGCGTGCATGAGTTCGCATTCTCTCCATTTGTTACATGGCTTTGCAGCCGCAGTCCAAAGACATACCATTAGATTAATGCAAGCGATTCTTAACCCAATCCTCAAGTGACCCCCTGAGAGCCCAAATTTATGCTCCCTCCCAACACATAACTCATTCTTGATTGTTTGGTTCAGGTTTGATGGAAGCTAGGAGGATGCGAAAATGTGGACTGTCTGGGGTTCCCCGAGAACTGGGTTGGGAAACTCTCTCTGTCACCTTGGGTCCCCCTATCCACACTTACATTGTCTTGTTTTATATTGTTACGTACGCACGGCCCCTGAATCTGCCGGGGTACTCACGACCCCGTCCACCCACCTGCCGTTTTATTGCACTCGAAGTTGATGATAGTCATTCGCTGGAACCCCGAGCTGCAGGTATTACCCTCAGGGTAAATGAGGGTGAGATCCCCATCCGAGTATCTGCCACACAAGCCACAGGTTTCAGCTTTTGTCCTTGTTTTCATCAAGTAAGAGGCGAAACAAACAGCGAAAAAGCGAGGCTTGGTCGCACCTCAGCGTCTGATTCTGGTACGTCCCGGCGACCTTTGCCACCTCCCCGGTGTTCTTGACCTGACAGGCCGACACGTAATTGTTCGGACTCGAACAGCCGCCCGCCTTGACCTCCCCACAGACGTTCAGGTAATACGTGTAATTGCCTGACGTCGTGTAGTACGGCTGGTTGAGACCTGAGTGACCAAAACATTCACGTAAGGGGTTAAAGGCCTTGATCTTGCCATCACTGCTGGGATTTGAACCAACGACCTTCTAAATCACAGGCACAGCGTCCTAACCTGCCGAGACCTGAGACATACTGGCTGCATGTTGGTGGGCTCTGTTATTACCGTCTATCAGGCGTATAAATGAGAGACTATGTGATAGAGGGAAGAATTTAGCTTTTCAGAGAGGCTCCCGGATTGGCACCTTACGGCTACACTCACCCGAGACCGTCAGAGGACTCAGGTCAATGGAGATGTCGTGCTGCTCGCTGGTCAGGGAACAGCTGTGGCTCTCTAGGTAGTCCCTGTGACAGGCGTACTCTGTCACCCACTCCACCTCATACCTGCAGTTGGTTTTCGTCGTCAGCCTGGGCTCAGTGGCCTGCAGGGAGCCGGTGGGCGAACGGTCATAGGACACCGACCAAAGACACGCAGAGGTAGGTGGGAACCAGGGCTGTTATCGTTAACCAATTTTAAAACTATAAGAAAACACTTTTGTAAAATTTAACAAGATACGAAAAGAAAACCACAACTAAACGAAGACTATAAACACTGCTTCCAGAAGCAACAGAAAATAAAATAAAAGCAGACGTCAAATGCTTCCCATTATCATTTTAAAAACACCATTTAGCTACAGTAATAATTTATCTTTACCAGCAATAATAGCTGCAATGTTTTACCCATTTTGAGCACATTACATCATGTGCACTGTGTATTTATGCAGGATTCTCTAAAGATCAGACACAAAACAAGAGTTCTACAACTTTCAATCTATACTTATAAGTACAGTTACTAAAACTTAAACTGAAACTAGAATACATAAACATTAGAAATATATCGGTAACACTTCACTTAAAGCAGTCATCATAATGCATTAGGGATACTGACAGTCTCTCTAAAGTATTAAGAACATGGCTATTCATAAAACTATTTATAAAAAGGCATAACAGATTATAGGCATGTTTTTCATGTATTATCAATACATCATAATGATATAAAATCACAATGCATTATAATGGTCAGTATAACAATTAAGGATGCTATGTACCACATTATGGTATCTATAAGGTATTTATAGTGCATTATAGACGAGAGCTTCATAGAGCATTCATAATGCATAATAAACATCTGTTATGCCTTTTTATAAATAGTTATAGTCATGTTTATAATACCTTCGTAATGCATTATGAAGGCAACAATAATACATTATACATGACTGCTTTGAGTGTTACCGAAATATCTTTAAAATAGAAACTGAAACCACACTGAAAACTAACTAAAACTAAACTGGATTTCAAATAAAAATTGAAAATAAAGTAAAAAATAAAGAAACAAAGCTACAATAACACTGTCGGAAGTGTGCGGAAGTGACAGCTACCTCCTGCCTCTGCGAGGGACAGATGAAGGTGACGGTGACGGCAGGGCTGTGCTCCCCGCAGAAGTCCGGCTTGCTGGCGCTGCCCGATTCGTAGCGCAGCATCAGCCTGGGGATGAAAGGACCGAGTCGTCAGCGGGGGGGGGTCCAGCGCGGTGCCGGCCGCGGGTCTGCGCCGCCCACCTCAGCTCCACATGCCCACCTGTCACTGGAGACCAGGCTCAGCGGCGTCTTGGGAAGGCCCACACCGAAGGAGGCCTTCCCCATGTCCAGGCAGGCGGCGGAATCTTCCGGGCAGGTGCTTCCTGCTCGGGCTGCGGGGGAAGACAAAGGCGAATTACAAAACGTATGTACTGCTCTGAAAAAAGTAAAGAAAAATCCAACGCAAGGTAGAATCTCTATTAGTGACTAAGGATGAGGCTGTTGTGCTCAGCTGGTTTCTACACATGGATTTTTTTTTTTACCTTGTTTGGAATTAGTGGCAGAAACTTTTGCAGCCAGATCTTCCTGCATTTAATCAGACTGCTGTGATCATCGTTTACACCAAACTACTGGCCCCATGTGACACCTGCCAAAATTCTCATTAATCTAAAGAAATGATCTGACAAAGGGAAATGCTGGCTGGTTCAATGCAACAGCTGCGTGAAGTTTCAAATTTTAACCAAACCGGTCTCAATCATTTATGCCGCATTTGTGCCCGTTTGTGCCATTGAAATTTCAATTTGTGCTGCTTTAGTTTCTGAGATATAAATTTTTGTTTTCATGGTGACATCACCGCCGTGCGTATCCCATCCAAACGCCATCCCCTGTGACATGCCACCCAGCTGTTTGGCCTAGGACGCAGTTTCGAGTTACCCCGTATGTTTCGAGTTCACCCTTACTGCCACTAAATGTAAACCCTTAAGCAAGCTAAACCTGACAAAGCACCTTCATATAACATTCATAAATGTATTTTATTGATGTGAATTCTTGCAGCAGCAAAAAAGGAAAACTTGAAATTGTTGGGGCAGCTTGAGACTGTATCATCAATCAAACAGCAAACAGCGATGCATTGCAGTGGTGACGTCGATATGTAACAATCATTTATCTCAGAAACTAAAGCAGCACAAATGAACATTTCAACTGCACAAACACGGCACAAACGACAGAGACTGGTTTGATTAAAATCTGAAACTTATGGGGGAGCAGCTTCATGCAGGTTCATTAAACACCCATAAACACTGGCAAAAGTGCTTGTTATCAAATTATTAAATAAACATGATTGTAGCAGCAAAATGTGCTTTTGAGAGCATTCATTCACTACAAGTGAAACCACAGAGGTGGAAAACAATGAAGTAGTAGGATGTGAAACAGCACATATGAAGTAAGGATGAACTAACAACAAATACTTCATACAGTGCTGTTAATTTTGATCAAATAACCAAGCGTGGACACAGAATTAGTGACAATAAAGACCGCTGATTAATATTACTAACATTCCAGTAACTATTGGATCAGTATCGCCCACCCCCCCCGCCCCCCGTTTCAGTTGAATTCGTTGATGAGCCCACAGTGCAGCTGGTGGAAAAACAGCATTGTTTCCACACAGCCGCCGCTGCCTGAAAACCCCAGACAAAGGCCTGACTCAGACAGAGAGGGGGACCTAAAGGAGGCGCGGCAGAGGAACTGACTGATGCTGCGGCAGATGTTGATGTACAAGTCGAAGGTCTCATCTAAGTCATCCACCAGGTAACCGTCGGTGAGCTTGATGAGGGGACTGAGGTCGTGCTTCTTCCCGTCAGTGTCAAAGACATAGCAAGGGACCTTCACAACACAAAAAACAGAGAAGAAAAATAGTTACAAGAAGACTATCTTTGCAATGAAAGCAGGTGGAGCTACCTTAAATTTGTCTGATCAATTTACAAAACCAGATACATGGAATATTTTCCTGGGAAATAAAAACAATAATTAAAAAAAACAAAAATGACAAAGCCATTCAGAATGTGTAATACATATCTCCACATTGAAATAATATATAACAATTATTTAAAGTAACTTCACATGTAACACACTCATATGGTGAAGCGGTAAGTGTGTAAGCAGTTTAAAATGCGTCTCACTTCTAAAGTATGATGCGGGTCACGGTTACACCCCCCCCCCCAATCTATCCCACTGTGCCACCCTCAACGCCGCGAGCTTTATGACGAAAACGAAAGAGCGCTCACCTCTCTGTGTGGCTTGAATGTGTCCCTCTTGCAGGCCACGTAGGTCCTCCACTCAAAATAGTGCACGCATTCAGACACAGTAACGAACTCCGGCGTCCCCTGCGAGGAATACGAGAGTAAAATCAGCTACAAACGCAACAACACATTCACTGCATTGACGTTAAGCACCGTACACAACGGTATCAGAATGCTGCCTACTGAACCCACAACAGAAACAGAATATATTTAAAGGCTATATAACCTACATACTTTAATATCGCAATAAGGGTTCCTGACATTGAACTGCCTGCATGTCCATTGTTCCTTGGAAGGACTGTAAAAACACATTATGTAATAACCGGACAGAATATAACCAACTGAGCGATGATAATAACAATGATAATGATGATGATAATAATGATGGTAATGCTGGAATATAAAATTATAATGTAGTCTAAAAGCTTGTTACATTTTGTCGAGTTATTACAAAATGCGTTGTTACATGGACTTCACCTGTAAATCTGAGAGTAAAGCCACTTTATTATATAACAACTGAGGACCGCTGCTGCCCGTGTCTCATCTGTGCTGAGGAATTCCAGTTTCTCAGAAAACGAAACCTGTGTCAGACCTGACTGATTTGACAACTAACAAAAACAAATTTTAATTTCTCCCTGGCGTACAAGGAAAGGCGGAGGGTAACGCCTTTATGACGACCTATAATCACATTCACATTTATGAATCCGCCACACACTTCTGTCCAAAGTACTAAACTACAACATGATGGCCATAATTGGTGCAGTTTGCTTTGTCCCGCGGCGTAAAAGTACTGCCAAACGACCTGTAAACGAATGCTGCTCTGCAGCAATGCTAGCCGGTTATAAGCGGAAGGAGACACAATGTAGGAACATGGGTGTGTTTGCTCCATTTGCTAATCTGTGTTTGTTTGCTTAACATCGTTTCCTAATGGTGTCGGAAGCGAGAGAAGGCTGAGCCCAGGCCTGGTTTGCAGGCTACAGCCTGGGCACGTTTCCCTGCTCCGCTTCATGTTAATACCCTATCAAACACTTTTATCCAGTGATTTATATACACTTTGTATGTTCGTCGAGCTGGATGCTTTAACGAAGTAAGAACCCTTGCGAGGGTACAGGAGAGGAACGCAGATGGGAACCAAACCATGAACCAGAAAATTTCTTTGTCATGAGTCCAGCAGGCTGTCATTAATCAGGATTTTGCACCTGTACAAAATTTGCTTTACAACTCAGCCCCTAAAAGTAATTTAAAAATGATAAATCATACAATTGTTTTTAAAAAAAGTTTAAATGTACGGAATAGTACAAAAGTTCTATGCAGTCAAAAAAATTATGTTTAAATGTTAGCATTAAACTCTGGGATTATGTGTCAAAGTGTGTCAGCTTAGCCATTTCAAAACAGTATTTGCAGCAATCATCCAATACACATTTATTTTTTGACTCAACCACTTGCATGCCATGTTCGGCCAATAAATAGCTAAGAGTTAATTAAGTAATTAAAGTACGTCATAATGATAAGCAGTGTTTTTTTTCCAGATAAATAGCTATAAAATTTTCTTTGACTGCCTAAGACTTTTGCACAGTACAGTACGTCATCCTAACATCCCTTGAAATCTCCCTAGAGGGTCCGCCACTGAGAGATTGTCAAATCGTCAGTCCTACGCTTAAGAGCTGAGCTGCTTAGACTCAGAAATGCAGGAGCCCGTCAGGAGAGAGATTCCTCCCTGCTCGCCTGCGTCTGCCATTATACTGGAAACAGCCGTTTAAGGCACAAACATCCATACTGGTTCAGCTTCCTGTCACAGTCAGGTGACAAGCCATCCAAAACGAGGAGGACTACGGACAGCTCACCAGCGTCTTTCCGCACTGGAAGCTGATGCTGCTCCGAACCGTCTGCTTGCTGCCGGGGCACTTCTGAGAGGAACGAAAATCCAGAACTTTCCCGGACAAGCTTTGATTGAGCTGATCACCTGAGGGTTACAGGGACATAAGAGTCAGCTGGACGAACTCATACCTTCGCTAACAGACACATATGACCAAGTACAGGAATGCTAATGTTAGCATATAGGGAGGCCCAGCATACCATGATCCTGTTCATAATGAAACAATATGATAATAATAAAACACAGTAGGCATGACAGCACCGGGGCGCAAAGTTAGGGGATGAAATGCGGCTCTGCGTGTGGGGCATGTTCTGCACGTTCCCCCCGTGCTGCACGGGTCCTCTCTCGCACTGCCCCAGTTTCCTCTTGCAGTCCAGACACTAACTGGCATCTGTGAAATGCCCATAGTGTGTGTGAGTGTGTGTGTGAATGTGCCCAGCGACGGACTGGCATCCAGTGTGGGGCAAACCCCAGCTTTGCTCTGTCGGCTGCCTGGGATACGCTCCAGACCCCTCGTGTGACCCTGACCAGTACAAGTGGTTATTAAATGGATGGAAATAGTAAGCGTATATGTATGCATGTATATATATATATGCCATGATGAAGAATAAAATTATACTGGAGAAAAAAGGTGATTTCTGCCAAGATTTTGCCCTCCGCTGACTTCTCTGTCAGTAGACCAGCCAGAAAAAGAGATTTTTCAAGTCGTCATAAATAAATAAATGTCATAAGGGTCAAACCTTCCCTCCAATGCAAACAAGCTCCGCGGCCCGCAGATGCCCCTGGGCCAGTTCACTGCCCGGCGTAGTCTGAGTCAGTAGCTCGGGTCGGCATCCAGCAGTCACGTTCGAGCCGTCGCAGCCCAGAAAGCAGCATGGGAATCTGGCTAAGCCCGCTCCCCCCCCCCTGCTCTGAGAAGGCCAGAATGATGGACTGGAAAGGCTGGTTTTCCCATCACGAAAATTCCAGGAACCAGCAGAACATACACAATACTGTTAAGCCTATGCAACTAGCTGTGTTTAAGATACATACTATTTCATTTGGCTTGATGGAAAATAAAATTCTGAAAGCTTTTGAAAATAAAAAAAAAAAACCTTTACAAATTCTCAGCCTTCTGTTATTGACACGGAAAAACCAAAAACTCAAATCATAATACAAGCGCAATCAGCTAGAATGAAAGGCAGACTGGTTCTTTAATCAATAGCATTTTAAACCAAAAAAAACCCTGTTGGCCTATTTCCTGATTCTGTGGGGGAAAAAAAAAACAACTGGAAATTGTTCGGCTGACATCATGAGATCTACAGCTGACGAGGAATTAATTCGGCTGAGACGAGGAATTAATTCAGCTGAGACGAGGAATTAATTCAGCCGAGACGAGGAATTAATTCAGCCAACTACGAGCATGGACTCCGAATGACTGGAGTAATTCTATGAAATTTATGCACATTTCAAAGGCTGGCCACTAGCAGCCTCAAACATCATCCACACTCTTGGCTGATAAGACAACAATAATGTGTAACGCAGCTCCCCGCTGACCTTTATGAAACAAGCTTTATGTTTTCACAGGCGGCCAACACAGATGAACCTGCCAAAACCTGGCTACTTAAGGCATCCAAGCACTGCTGGTGAACTTCCTAACTCTCCCCCCCCAAATATCAGTCCCAGATGCCACAAAAGATCAGCTCAGTTGGCTGCATAAGAGACAGACCATCCCATGGTGACTTCTCGCTTTAAGAACTTCTGATGAAATGAATTCATGCAATATGCTAGGGGCCTGTTCAGTGTTCCCCAGATAAATTCTTAAAAGGCATTTTTAAGGAGAGAAATTTGTGATGCACAGCTTGAAACCCTGAAATCAAATCTGAGGCGCCTAGTGCTATCAATAGTATGAAATTATAACTAGAGAAGGATGTGGTCTAATCAGAAAGTCAGACATTTATGTCGAGTCCTCGATACTGACGACAAAAGATCATTTCAGCATAGCGAGAGGAAACAAGACGCATGACACAATAGGCCATAGGTTCTGCAACATCCACTTTTGTAAAGCAGAACAAAACCAGAACAAGCTTCTGCGACTCGAACAACTGGTTAAGACTAAGATGGCTTTCTACAGAAATGTCTGGCAAATCCACATTTTCATCTTATCACACTGGGTTTCATCAAACCTGCCAGGATTTAGTCATGATGTAAACATGCACAACAGAGATAGATGATACTAATCGAGTGTCTGGCAGTGCGTACTTAAGTGGAACATACCTACTTCACAGCTTAACCTGAAGATGGCACACAACCTTCAGCAGATTAATGCTTCTGGCAGGGAGTGATATTAGGAATGGTACAGAACATATCAGCATGCCCTGATAACTTTAGGAAAAGCCCAGCATAGCTACCACGCCATTTCATGTATGTGAACACACCCCCATATCTACTACTTATTAGGAACTAGACAAAATAAATACATCTACCAAGCAAGGCTGGTTTTAGGGTCACGAGATATCTGGGGTGTAGCCCAGAAACTGTCACGTGTGATATGGCGGTGGAGTTTGTAAAACTGATTGTTTTTTTTTTTTTTTTAAAAAAAAGAACGGGACCTTCGCTACAAACATTCAGGTTACAGCACCACAAGTCCCTTGAAGTCAAACATGGAACTAAGCATTTAAAAATTGATGCAGAGCTCAATTAGAAAGGGGAAAAAGATAAGACACAGCAGAATGAATAAAATACATAGGAAACTTGTTTTCCAATATAAAAAGCCACAGTTGTATAATATTCAAAGAGTAGCCTAAAGTTTTAAGATTGAACTCAAGTCCCCAGTGTCCAAGCTGGCCATCCTCTTATCACGTGTTTCAAGTAACACGCTATGGAATCCCTGCACAAAAGCCCTGTGAAAATAAGTCTTACCCAATCCATTACTGGGAATAATTAAAACCATTCATTGGCTCCACTTCCCCGGAAACTTTGTAATTAGTTCAGTAGTACAGTCTGGAATGGGGCAAGCTGGCATTTTGGAGTTTTTTTAAATACTGGGAACCAGTTTGCAGAATAGCGGAGACGTGATGAGAATGTGCAGATACGACTGTTGCAAGGCAAACGCACACCAGCTGCATTAGGCACAGCATGACTGATAAGCGACTTCACCACAGTCAACAGGCTGCAACAGGACTGGGCCTCTGCAGAGCTGCCATGCAATGAACCCAAGAACACGGTTTTTACAACTCAGCCAGTCGCACCCCCACCCACATGTGCACCCTGCAAAAAGCCCCGCCCCCTAAGCCCCGACTCACCCACAGACTGGTACTTATTGTTGGTGAGATCATAGGCACAGACACTGCTAGCGTCCCCGCATTTTGTGCTGGGGGTTGAGCTGCACAGCCTCAGGATGTATTCCACGTTGTTGTCCTGGTCTATGGCCTCCCAATTGTAACTGCAAAAAAAAAAGCACAGTCTCTCAAAATATTTTCAGAAAGACTGACAAGGAACTGCAGAAGTCAAAGAATTCTTTGCAGAACAACAGCATATAGTTCCCCCCAAAATAACTGCAAATAAAATTATTTTTTATATTTAGCATTTTTTTTAATTTCGTGCAATAAACATTTCCCTGGGAGGCCCAGTATCGAATTTACACATAATGCTAGCATATTATACATGGTTTGTTTTACAACAGAAGCTATTTTCATTTTGACAGCATGGAGAAGATAACGCAAAGCTAAATGTCCTTTTTTAAAATGAGTCTTTTATATTTGCCTTTAGGCTAGTAATACGAAAACAAAACTTGTAACAAATGCCAGACCCATTCTGGTAAATGCTTAAATATAGACCAGCAGTTTTCGGAAATGTCCAGTTGTAATAATAGCTAACACAGATAAGTTCTTTAATTATACACTGTCACGGAGAACTGTTGGTAACTTTAAAACATTTTTCTGATATTTTATGTTTTACATCACATTCCAGTACAAAAAACGCAACATGGGAAATATCTAAATTACGCACACACATTAAAAGGGCATAATTGCAATCTTATCTTCTGCACAGGGAAGTGACTTCCCATTGTAGGGATCGTGACAGACTAACAGTCGAGGCTGTAGATACCAATATTTATGGCACAGGGAGATATATACAGGAAGGGGAATATGATATTTGAGGGACGGCCAGGGCAGCTCCGGACACCGGCCGCCTGAATGGTGACTGTGCCTGTCCGCATAGCTAACACTGGCGCCTAGTTTACTTAGAACTTTACAGCGAGACTATTTTAAAACATAATGCGCTTGAAAAGAATCCAAGTACCGAATATAATCGCAGACTAACCGACCAGCTTGCTTTATTTTTTTAAAGAGACCGAAACGCAACATATACGCCCGTCAGGAAGGTGCGCTGCATCCGCCAACCAATTAGCCCGCTAGCCCGCTAGCCAGCTTTCGACTGCCTACCTGCACAGTTCCTGGTACCACGGACTGTTCTCAGCCCTGACGGTGATGGCGAGCAGAGCAAGTAGCGTTATTATCCGAGGGAGCATTCGGCGGGGTACTATCCGGACACACGTACGCCGTGAACCCATGTTTTTGTTCCAGTGTTAGAGTGTTTCGTTCGACATGATACAGCAAGTCCTCGAGGGCCAGGAACGGCTCCAATCACATGATGCGGTGATCACGTGACGCAGCAGTCACATGACGGCAGCCTCACGTGTTGTACGCGACGTTTCTTGACTATGCTCTGTCATAAAAAAAACCACTAGAAGATAGCGGCTATTTTAAATAGGTCATATGCCGAAACTGCTATTTTCGGTCTCAAAGTGGGTAATAAACCACAATTTAAATATGACGTTGAAAGTCAGACTACGCGAGTTACAGTTTTTATGACAATTAAGCAATAGCTTAAGTTATCTGTCGTTTAAACCAGTTTTTTCAGGAATGATCCGGAGCTGATTTTGCTATTAAACCAAGACTGCAAATTAAATTATATGTCAGGTGTGGTATGAATAATTTGGTGTTCTTTAAACTATGTGTATTGATTGGCTAAAGTAATGTTTTGCGTGTACCAAGCACAAAGTGCGAATTTCATTTCGGTGTACTCTGTTTTATTTCAGTGTATTCGGTAGAATTGGAGGTCCTTTATTATTTTCCACAAACAATTATTATCATCCGGCATGATTCAGAGCAGTTTGCTCAAACTCTTGGACTCCAAATACTATTCTGTTTCTCCAAATACTATTCAAATGTGAAACTTTTTTTGTGTGACCTTTTTTGTGTGAATTTTGTGTGGCCTGGACTTTTAAGATAAAATTTTATAACTGGTTTATTAGGCTACTTATACCCTCTTCTGGTGGATTCCTGAACACCCCACTGCATGGAAAAATAGTCTAGGAACTACGATTTCTGAAACTCAGTTAACACATAACTAGGAAATTAGATACACTAAGAATAAAATAAAAAGCAGTTTTTCTTTCTAATGAAGGAAATGCTACATCAATATTTTTAAGTTAGAAGGTGTCCGACAATCTCTGACCTAGAAACATAGCGGATGACTCGTTGGTTTATGTTTGGCTTTTCACGCCCCGCCTCTGTTAACGTATACAATTGCCTTTCACAACACTGAAACACCTAAAAATAGCTCAAAATAAACATAACAAAAACAACGCTAAATATTTCCGTCAATGATGTTTCTTGTGTGTAAATTACGCATTTTGCTCTTCAGAGTGTTCTGTCCTCTTCGGTGCTTAAGACACAATCAACTAGACGATTGAAGCTAAACCAAGTTCTGGCACCGTGGTTTTATTCGTGTTAGCGAATAACTTGCATGGAACTTGAGGATGTGGTATCTTACACAAGCATGACATTTTAGATTGCCACACTGTCCAGTGGAGGTCAACTGGGACATAAAGTTGATCTGAAACTGTTTAATTTGGCTTTAGGTTAGCCTCAAGATTAATGCGGGTTTTTACGCTTCAAACCAATAGATGGCGCTAACGCCTATAGATGCGCGGCCGCCCGGAGGCTCCGCCCCGTGTTCGTCACCGAAGCCCGGCCCCTCCGTTCGGAAAACCAGAACATCTGGTTCATGTAAAGATGGCCACGGCGGCGATGGTGGGGACTGGTAGTAATACCCACGGAATGGAGGAGAAGAAGTTCGAGTACTTCTCCTCCATCAACTCGATGGCTCGGAAGATCATGCAGGAGAGAGAGAAGATCAAGCAGAAGCACGGCGAGGACTGGGAGAAGATGACGCCGAGCGAGCAGGAGCTGGCCATCGATAACGGCATGATAGACCCCCAGATCCAAGCTCGCTATGCGATCCACCGGGTGGAACGGGAGGAGTTGGGGTGTTACCCTAAATTACTCATTCAGACGGGACAAAAGATCGTGCACTTCGGGGAGGAGGTGAGAATGTTGCATATTTTTTTGAGATCGCATCTGACATAGCACCATGTCTTCCGGGATCTGGGAAGTATGTGGGTTAGGGCTCCATTGATCTTTTGACAGTCAAAACAAAAGAGCTGACAGCCCCAACCCTCCAGCATTAAAGAAGGAAAAAGGTTTTACGGGACACGTAAAACAGCAGCGTATGCTCGTCTTCCCCCGTTTGATTATACGGAGTGTAAGATCGCGCAGGGAGCCATTTTCGGGACATTTTTTTAATTCCAAATGACACGCAGTTGAAATCTATTTCTAGGATCGCTTTTACGTGTCCCATGAAGGTTCATTAAGATTCTTAGGTAAAACACTGTAAATTATACACTCAATACAAGCTAGCAAAGTCAAACAGCAGTTTTGAAAACTAAAAAAATGCCGGCTTGTGATCTTATACCTACGCAGCTGAATGACCATAACAGATGTCAGATCCGTGTCGTTGACTTTTCAGCAGCACAAACTATTGCATTGCGGCATTAACATTAAGTCATAAAACATTTCATCTAAATTGATGGCGTTAGTGTCCGTTTAGTGAAACACTATTTCAAAGTATACAGTGTAGCGTGTTTACTGGCTTGATGGAATTGGCTTGGCAAGGAATGAACCGTTTTGACGTAAGAAAAAAATCATGGACAGTTAAAAGCGCTTCAGGCAAGTGGATACTTATTTGAAATTATTTTGTTTCTTTACAGGACATAACTTGGCAGGATGAACACTCATCACCTTTTTCTTGGGAAACTAAGGTATATGTGTGTATGAGCATGTGGCTGTGACTTGCTGTGTTTGCTTTAGGAGTCAAATTACAATGTGACTTTGCATGAGTTACCTGTAGTGGGGTTCTTAGGTTTATTCACTGGGGTCTGAATAAAACAGTAAGTTGTAGATTACAGTTGTCCAGCAAAGGACAGGCTTTATGTCCATTGTGTAACCCGACCTTGTGCTCTGTGCACCCTGGGTAAATTGACTGGGATAATTGGTTAGAAGATGGACAGATGGATTCTTTAAGATTGTCATCTGCCAGTTGAAACCTGGTTAAAATGAGTTTTAATTACATTTGCACATTCTTCATTTGCACTGCAGAGTTACACTACATCAAAATCAAAAATATTTTGTACATTGTATTTCTATTGTATTTATTGCATTGTGTTGTTGATGTAACACATTTATTTATTGTTTGTATTTATGTGTAGCCCAATTGGGGGCCCAAAGGATATGGTATTTTGATGTAGTGTACTTTTACATGGATGTGTGGATAATGAAGACCTCTCGAGTCCCTTAACACAAACTTTTTTTTTTTCGGCCTTCAGAGTCAGATGGATTTCAGTCTTGCATCTACCCCGGCCATAGAGCAAGGTAGCACCTCGTCCCAGGGAGAATCCAAGACTAACAAGGTCCCACAAGCCAACCAGGTGACCAAAGTGGCCCAGATTAGCAAGATGTCCAATAGTGAGGCGCCAGGCCTGGGCAGAAAGGAGGAAGAATCGTCCTTCTGGAAGATCAACTCCGAGAGGTCCAGGCTGGAGGGCGAGCAGGCCGACTTCCACTCGCTGACACCTAGTCAGATCAAGTCGATGGAGAAAGGAGAGAAACTACTGCCCTCATACTTACGCCAAGAGCCTCCCCCGCGGGAGCTGGAGGAGGTGCCGAGGGCAGCCAAGCCGCGGGCACCTAGACCTCCAGCTCCTCCACCCCCGGCACCCGTCACTTTGCCCCCGGCAGCAATCAGCATTACCCCAGCCCCCATCAACGTATCGTCCACGGTGGCGGGCTGGGAACGAGCCCAAAGCACCCTCCCATCCTTTAGTAACCTTGACGACGTCTTCACACCTGGAATAGCCACCAAGTCACCTTCTCCCAAGGAGCCTGAGAAGGCAGATCCTCCCGTGACCACTAGTCCAGTGGCCAGTTTCTCTCAGGTGAGGTTTTTCCTTCACGCTCAAGTTTTCACTAAATGTCACGTGAAATTCTGAAGTTCAACCTGCGGCTTGTAGTGGTACTTACTGAAATTGTGCTTCTATCTGCGCTTAGAGTTTTTACAGTGGTTTCCCATAATTACACTGTACAACTGAAATGAGAATTTCTATGTTACTTTTTCTACCTGTGGTTTATGGCTCCCCAGCTGGAAATTTCATTCATTTCCCACTGGGAATTTTGCCACAATCCAAAAATATTTGCTCTGCATTTCTTAACAGCAAGGAAACAATGAATTAGGCCACTCTTTGCAAACCTTATGTAAATGTCACGGTACAGGAAGACTTTTAAAAATAAGCCCAACACACTATGTCAGATCATCGGGAATACGTATGCAAGTCCACTGAAAAAACTGCCAGTGAATCCAAATTGGCACAGACACAAAGCGATTAATTGTCATTGTTGACACACCACAACAACAAAGTCTGTCCTCTGCATTTGACCCATATGTGACATTGTGACATAGCAGGGGGCAACTAATTCAGCACCTGGGGAGCAGTGCTTGGGGGGCGGTACCTTGCTGGTTGGGGATTCGAACCAGCAACCTTTTGCTTCCCTAAGCCCTAGGCCATTACTGACCCACATCCTACAGAAGCATGTAACATTTTTCAGATAATTAGTGCTTATTAAACTAATTCTTTTGGGTACATGGGAAGGCATTAGGCAATGAACAAAAATCATTTCTTTATTTTTGGTGTAATTCCCAAACCTGCTCTATTTAGGGCCTTGTGTTCTACTGGACTGTTTTGCATGGCACCAAGTTCACAAAGGACATTCAGACCCAGTTCCAAATCCGCTTGCCTTAGCTCACAAACTGGCATAGGAAAACTGAGAAATGTCCTGGATGAGCGCATCCTAAAAGTGTTTGCCTGTTTTTCTCCCTATCTGTGCAGTTTAATACAAGCAGCACTATTCTGAAGACAGGCTTTGACTTCCTGGACAACTGGTAACACCTGAGAATGGGACCCCAAAACCTCACTGCTCTGCTCCCCATCCTGAGCTTTGGCTGGACCACTCCGTCTTCCGCACCCCCCACCCCCACAATTGATAAAGCATATCTCAGCATACATTGTCAGCTCTGTAGGCAGTCTTGGACTGTTAGGGACATTAAAGAACAGCTGATATCTGTTTTCCACTAACGACGACTCCTCTCTGTTGTTGCATACAGTACATTATTATGACCTCATACTAGTGTCAAGCATTTATAATGTGCATTTATATAAACACTAAAATTGATACACTCAAGTAAAATAGCATGTTTTTAGAAACCGTTCATAATCTTTGAAATATGCATGCCCTGCAATTTTACACGGCTAGAGTATAAAAATAAAGCTTTTTAGAATGGACTTTGATGCCACCGTTTTCCCTGTGTGGTCTTGAGATAGCATTTTGCTGATCGTTTTGCTATGCAAATAAACTAAAAAGTTGCGGACTTTGTGTTTTGGGAGAATATTGTTTTTGCATTGTAGTGACTAATGTGGCCCACTAAGTGGCAGCACTGGACAGATTAATAGCTGTTTTGAGCAGTAATAAAGGAACGGCTACGTGAAGACTAATAGGTTTAACATAAACAGTAAATTCTGAAGAAATATTTATACAAATTCCATTCCAGTTATTAGGACCAAAAAAACCAGAAAGCTCCAGCTGAAAGTTATCTTCCTTGGATTAATAATTTCTCTTTATGAGATTAAAGGACAAAACTGTGAATCCTATAGTAGACGAGTGCAAAGACTTGCTTCAGATATACACATCATGACAAAGTTTTTAGACTATGCATTTCACCATAACTTTTACACAACACAGAAACTATCTGTGGTGTATTAGGAAAAACCGCAGCATAGTTTGTGATGTATTACTGCATTACACAGAAAACTATTTTTACCAGGGAAATCTGGGCTCTTTTATGTATGGATTTAATGGTCGTTATGTGGACACAGTAATGCACACATACTGCACTGAATCCATAATCAAGCCTCATAGTTATATAACATATCTTGGCCCTCAGAGGTGGTATAACCACACCCATGAACCCTAATCCAGGCCCAAAAACCCTAAAGTCACTGGAAAGTATGATTCCCCTGCTTTTTTTTAACTGGAATCCCTCCCGCTGGCAGAGATCGCGGCGCCGGGGAATCTGCGCCTGCAGCTTCCCCACATCTGAGCGCAGTTTTCCAGGCAGCCCAGCTGCCTCGCCAGCGATCCGCTCACAAACGCGAACCCGGAGCAAGACGGCCAGGGCTGAAATAAACAAAACGGGGGCATGCGGCACGGCGGGCAGCCCCTGTGAGAGGGACACTGAATGTGGAAGCGGGAAGCAGGGGGGGGAGGGAATAAGGTCCCTGTTTCTTGCTAAAAAAGTGGGGGGGGGGGGGGGGAAAAAAAAAAAAACACAATGAAGTTTCCTGTTATTGGTGAGGCCCTGTCTGGATGAGGCAGTCGCAGAGCGCCAGGGAAGAGAGAGGGAGGTCGGGACACGGGAGAGCCGTAAGTACCAGAAGAGCGGACCAGCGTTTCGGGAGAAAATGGGGAAAACTGCTTTGCTGGTCACGGCGCTGTGCTTCTGCACAGTGTGCCTGTGTGACACAGGCAACGACAGCCTGGAAAATGACGGAGGAATCAACACTCCAAAGATAGAGACTATTTCTCAGGTAGGGGTTGGGATTCTTGTAAAATAATGTAATGTGAAAAGCCTTCTGCCTGGACTAACTTTGGATAAATGCATGATGGAATGAAATTAATTTGTACTTCAGAAGTATTTTAAGTGTCCCGAAAAGACACTTTGGGTCTGGTATATATAAAAAAAGTCTAAGTAGTACTAGGAATAGTGAAGTCCTGAGAAATTCCTTTCTAATTCTGGTAATGCACCATTACTTTTATTAATGCTAGGAGCAAGAATGGTGCAATCATGAGTGATTCACTGTGAAATCTGCTTTGTTTCATGGCAAGAAAACCACAGATGAAGAGACATATTGTGGAGTGTTTTTCAAACTGGGGTATCAACCTGCTCACCTCTCCTTCTTCAGGCTGAGGACAAAAAACCAGTACAGAGTCAAGAAGTTGAGAGAGGACTGGGTGGCGAGGAGGGGACTGGGAGCCCCGACGATCCAGAGCCGACGTCCCCCCTCTCAGACTTTGAAAACTCATACAACTATGTCTGTGGGTCTCTGCCTCTGCTAGAAACTTGCTTTTTTCCGGAACGATCCGGGCCTCTCGATCGGTGCAAACGCGTCTGTTTTCTTGCACACCAACGACAGTGTCCCGCCTGCAATCTATGGACCAGGCCATCCACAAGCTGAACGTGGGACACTACACGCTGGACGTGAGACTGGTGCAGCTGCTGGACAGGCTCTCGCGGCTAGACGGCAAGATCGGGGAGATGGACGACGAGATACAGCAGGTGCTCGCTCTCGCCAAGGAGAACCGCAAGGAGATCGGACAGCTGGAAGGTGAGTAGAGCCACCAACCTCCACTTCTGGTTTCCTTTCTTGCTTCAAGAATTTGACAGGAGGTGAATCATTACTGTACCTCACATCATTTTACCTCTAAATCTCAAACTCAAGGCCTAATATCTGTATGTAATCTAAGACAGTCACAGAAAATGTTTAAATGATGTATGTACTGTCTGCACTTTATGCCAAATTGTGTTGCACCCCTGCAATATATACTGTACATATATGATTCAGTTCACAATATTCATAATCCCCACTGTATAGAATGGGTGTGCAATCTGATATTTACACTGTCATACTGCATTGCCTTTTATTGCACTACGAATAACATTGCATTATACTGAAACTAAATGTATATATGTGCTCTAAACTGTTAATATTCTTTTCTCAGTACCTATTTACACACCATTGTGCAGTTTAATTGAAACACGCTGTCACACAGACATGCCTGCAGTGGCCTGGGACCTGCTGGTTTGCACAGCCATCAGGGCAAAGAGTATGCTGAGTGGATGGACAGAGGAGGCACCGTGCCCACATACCGGCAGGCCTGCCCGGGTGGGGTTAGGGCTGGGTGGATGGACAGAGGAGGCACTATACACCTTCCCGTGTCGTCATGGTGTTCCCCCCCCACAGTCCAAGAACATGCAACATTCCCCACAGGCATGAATGGTGTGTCCGCTCTGCGATGGATTGGCGACCCATCCAGGGTTATTCCCATACAATTTTTATCAGTCTACCAGGTCCTAAATCCAGACTCAAGGTGATAAGTATGAATTAATGTAACTGTCATGTCCATCTTAACTGTGGTCAGTCTGTCTGCATATAGATGCAACAACTTGTTTCAATTAATCCGGAAAAGGGTGTATATTAGGCCTATTTAATACAATAAGAAAACGAGGTATATGAAATGTAATAATCTTTTATACTCTTTATATCCGTTTACCTGCTGCTGCCACTGGGGAGGGAAAAAAAAATACTTCACACTGGTCCATTTGCCTCAAGTGTAAAACCATCGACATGGCTTCCTATGACTCCCTTCTACAGGCTGCCAGAAGGGCAGGAGGATAGGCCATAAGTGCTTCCTGGTGTACCGCTCGTACGAGACCTACGCCGGGGCGTCCAAGAAGTGCCAGGAGCGCGGCGGCAGGATGGCAATGCCCCGGGACAGGAAGGAGCAGGAGGCGCTGGCAGATTACGCCCGTGGCTTCTTCCACCCGGGCAACTGGCCCATCTGGCTGGGCATTAACGACCTGCGGTCGGAGGGCCTCTACCTGTTTGAGGACAACACGCGTGTCACGTACTTCCAGTGGCGCAAGCACTACCTGTCCAGCCAGCCGGACGGGGGCAAGAGAGAGAACTGTGTGGCCATCTCCTCCGACGATGGCGACTGGTGGGACAACTACTGCGACCGGCGCATGTTCTACCTCTGCGAGTTTGATGCTTGAAGACCTCCCAGTTGTCACCCTGAGAAGTTCCTCAACCCAGCATGTTCTGTGGCCAAAGCCAAAGCCAACCATTCTACCAAGTTTTGGCCATAGTTGTAGCAAGAAGAAAGCCTACTGGTTCTGCTCTTTAAGAATGACAGTGTTGACAAGATGTTGAAATACACATTTCTCATACTCAATCAATCCTCCTGGAGAACTTCCTGTAGTACTGTACATATTTATCTTGATTTTTGAGGGTCAAGTACAGTATCTGCTACTAGTTCGGTCAGCTTTGCATGAATCCTTGTGCTTCGAAACTATTGAAATATTTACTACAATCAAATCTATGATGGCCTTTGCACATGAGAGTGGACTACAGTGGGTGACATGAAGGTTTTATTTCAAAGAATCTTCGATTCACAGTTTCCACCTACTTCAAGTATGTTGTTTCCTTATAGAGAAACCTGTCTTCATTTAGGAAAGTAGATAATTAAGAATATTACATTTTATGTAATGAAGAATTTACTGATCTGTTTATGTTTAACCTAAATTAACACTGAATATTTCATAAATAATTAATAATTAATTTTAGCCCCATTACCTCCAACTCTGACATTAAAGCATGATTCATATTATGTCTGAAGATTAATAATTAATAATAATGGTGAGTGCCCTATCAATTGTGGTGAAATCATGGTAAACACTTGTGCAGAGAAAAGAGACCTAACTGCTGATGTTTGTGCAGGAGGACCAGTACTCCCAGCCTGTGTTGGATTCTCCAGCAGGGTTCATCACATGGTGTGTGACTGTGAGCCCCGCCTTCATTCTCACAGGCTGGGAGGGGGGTGATCTTCCTGTTTACAGGCCAGCACTGTGCCAGTAAGGGGCCGTGCATTAGCGGGTGGTCGATGTTCCCCCCTGATTAACCACAGACAGGATCTCTGCCAAACTTGGCCGGTCCACTGGGCTTCTGCAGGGATGGGCATAGACCACCTTCCCAGTCTCATTCAGGACAAAATCACCACCAAGCTGAAACCACATTCAAAAAAGTATCACAGGTCTACAGGACGACTCTTTCCTGCACATGATATTGTCAATTTAGAAATCAGATCACTAATACATTTAAAAAAACACACCTGATGTGTAATTATTAAAATCCTTTTAGCTACAAGATCTAAACACAGGTTCTGGTGAACTGTCACCCAGCTGAGACAGCCAGACCAAATTAACCCCTCCAGGTGTTTATGATCCACATCAGTGGACAAGAAGAATCATTCAAACAGGTCATTTAAGTCGTAGTTTATTCATGTAACTCATGGTTACCTGATAGATGTCGTCTACGAAACTTGGATCTACTTGAGGAAATGTTCGCTTCAACACGGTATACTCCGCATACTTCTGTAAGTTGCGAAATTTTAGTATTTTCAAGTAAGACGACCCCAACCCAAACATGCCGTATATCTAGAACACAAAAACAACAAATCAGACTCATTACACGTCGCACATCACTCAATTCACATCACCTCAGATGAAGAAATAGAGCTTAAATCACACCCAAGCATGGAGATGTCTTCCCAGAGCAGTACCTCTTTCTGTGTGTCCAACACCATGTCATACTTGCAGCCTGTGTCCCGTAGCCAGTAACGAGCACCTTCCTGGCAGCTGAAGGAGACCATGAGCACCCTGACAGACTGGGCATCCAGGAGGCCCTGCAACACAGACTCCTCTATAAGCAGAGGCAGTAAATCCTAAACAGAAAGTAGACAGTAAGCTACACTACAGCACATGGCTGTTTAGTAGATTTTTTTTATATATTGAGTGACCTACAGAGCTTGCATGTGTTTACACAGTAAGACCGCAGTATGTCAGTGCTCAAAGAGGTGCTGTCAGAAGGCCCTACAGTCACCCTACCTGGTTACCTTCCAGCTCCGCCAGGTGGTCTCGTCATGGCAGTCAAGCGATGTGCCTCAGCAAAACCAGAAGCAGCTTCTCACCTTTCCCCAGATACAGGCCTAGAGTCACTGCCCTGCACAACAGCATTCGTGATATTAGTGGGATCCCAGCTTCATTACGTTTTAGCAACGAGAAAAGTCGACTCGACGAAACCCGATCTCTAGAGTGTTGCTCACTCTCCACTGCGGGCGTCGATCAAGGACGTCTCTGCGGGTACGCTTTCTGCTAACGGGCGCTTGGACAGAACCGTGTCACTCATCTGGAGCTCCGTGTCCAGTTGCTCAAAGAAGGCATCCCATTCCACCTGCACAGCACGGGTTCAAAGTGCAAGTCGGGATCAAGAGGACGCATGGCGTGACATGTCATGATCTAAGTCAGGTGTCACATTTAATTGACAGACAGCAGGATGCATAGCAGACCTAGGGATAGAGTTGCAGGTTGCCCATTATCTTGGATGTGTCACTCAATTGTTTACAACAGTGTTTCCCAATCCAGTCCTCGGGGAACCCCGGACAGTCCATGTTTTTGCTTCCTCTCAGCTCCCAGCGCACCTGTACCAGGTATTCGGTGTTCCTGATTGGCTGGGAGCTGGGAGGGAGCAAAAACATGGACTGTCCGGGGTTCCCCGAGGACTGGGTTGGGAGAAACACTGATTTATAATGTTCAAAAAGTGGCCGTGGTGCTTAAATAAGGGCAAATAGTGCTGGTTACTTAAGCCAAAGCACCTGCAAACCATCTAAGCTGTTACGCAAGTTATCTTTAGACTAATGTTGACTGTACTTACGCAGTTAGAAATTAACATGACTGCCTTTCAGATGACTGAGACGAACTTTACAAACATGGACAACATTAGCTGCAGTATAAGCAGATGGCTGAACGTACCTCCAACTGAAGAAGCTTCTCAACCTGGTCACGCACCTCTGGGCAGCTGGCAAAGGTGCAAGAATGAAAAGTTTCTACACCTTACATTGTGTCACATCCCTAGCAAAATGAAACATGGATATGGAAAGGGGGCTTCCCAGTAAATTAGATCCTTACTGAAATGAGTTTTTCCACAGGTCTTCAGCTTCATTTCGATTTTTCACATACAGCCTGGATAAAATGCACGAAACGTTTTACAATAAAATCCATTCACTCATTAACTTTTATTTTACGAGGCAAACCATTAACAGCAGTTTCTTATTTACAATGACAGCCTGGCAAGTACCAGAAAGCACTTGTAAAACAAAACGAAAATGGAAAAAAAAATATGAAAACAAATAGATAAAAATAGAATAAAACCCATAACTGAATGATTAAACAGAATTAGAACATTTACAAGTGTCGTAAAAATGTCCATAAGTAAGCCTTTGAAGGCCATGACAGATATAAATTTATCCAGTTTCAAAGAGTTCTGTAATGAATTCCAGTCATTAGCAGCAGCAGATTGGAATCATAACAGGCCAGAGAAAGTGCTACGTTTAGGAGACATTATTGTAATATAAGAGGAAGACCGCGTATTATATGTGGCCAAGGCGACTGTCTGTAACAACTGAGGTACATTTATATACAGAGCACTGGAGACTGATCAATGCCGTCTGGGTTCTTTACCTGTTAAAGAAGTTCGCAGTTATACCAATCAATCCAAACAAGGACTCCATTTTCTTTGAAGAGATGAAATCACGTAGAGAAGCTGCGTAAATGTTGAATGCAGTCGTCAGAGAAAGGGAAACTGACGTTTGTGTTTTGGCATTACTAATGAGTACGATTTCGAACTTTTAAGAGTGTCAAGTTAAAATACTGATGGGTGATTACTAGACTAGTAAAATGAACGCTTCGTGCGAAACGCTAACGGGTTGAAAGTTGATAGGCGCATTCTGAACTGCACAGGAAAGCAAACGCAATGTCACAAATGTTGGTTTGGAAATACAACACTACTTAAACAGCCACCTGTTTGTATGCAGAAGTGCAAGAAATCAGACACCATACCATTCTTGTACTCTTTCTGGATGTTCTCGAGTAAATCTCGTCCGATTTGAACAAAGTCTTTTAAAGCGTCGAGGAGAGCGTCAGGTTGCACCACAAGCCCCTCGCTGGCCATTTTCGTACTGCACCAAGCGAAAGTGACCTCCAGCGGTGGCAATGAAACGAGCGCTCCCGACGGAACGACTTATAAGACACGAATGCCATCAATATTCATTAAATCTAGTATCTAGCCACACGACCATCATCAATACTTCATAGACTTAGTGTGAAATAATGTGATTCCCAATCATCATCCGAATAATACTTTAATTTCAGAGTTAACGAGCCTAAAATATTCACATGACGTCAGATAAAATTATGAAAACAATTAGTTCTATGATTTTGTATGAATTCGTTACTCGTGTTTGTCATTAAGAAAAATATTTTGATGAAAAACATAACGCCTGCAGTTAATCGAATCGACCCATGGCATATTGTAAATAAATGAAAAAAGCTGATATACTTGTCGATTTCTATTTCATGATCATTTAATCTTTAGTGTTATTTTAATTGTAGTATATTCTTATACAATTTTCTCTTTTCTTTGTATTGGATATTTTGACCAGCACAATCGAGTGTGTGGGTGGAAAGGTGTTTCGCTACACAGTAGTACAGAGTGTGATTGTGTACGTGACAAATAACTCAAAACTTTAACAAAAAATAAACTATTGACCAAATTAATTGTCAAACAACTTTATTTATCACCAGGTACCCAATTCTCACCGAAACCCCAACAGAATGTTCTCTAACTTATGAGTTTCTGATGGAAAAAAATAATAAAATGACTTTGCCCCCTTTTATAAATAAAATAATCTTCAACTTTGCATTTTAACCTGGTATACAGTGCAATAACAGACTCTCCGCCAATACAGCCTCAATACGGGCAAATTAAGGGATAAAACTTCCTTTTTAGCAAAAATGTGCATCTTTTATCATCGGGAAGGCAAATCAATGCACAATTTCGTCTTTCATTCTTAATAAGAGGCAGCTACTCCATTCATGTGTGTGACTTAAGACAGTAGCAGTAACTCATTACGTAATCTCAGCGGGATTATACTCCCTGTGCCACAGAAATAGACATTTTTTTTTAAGAGGACTTCAGACTCAACAGGGATTTGGGTGCATCTGAGCACTTCTGTTTCATGGTGGTATCATTGATTAAAGTCATCAAATTTATAGTGGAGCGAGCGCAGAAAAACTCGCTGTGCAAACATCCCACTATCGACACCGAAAATACCAACATGAAAATGACCCCCAACTTCTCCCCCAATAACAGAAAGAGCCAAAGAAAGGATTGTTTCTTTTTTTTTGCGCTTATTCCATTATTTCACTTGGAATATCCAAACCCTGAAAGACATGTTTAAAACCCCAGAGTCACTTTTATCTGCTTATATTTTCGTATAATCTAACCTGCTACATAGCATTTTAAATAAAAAGGCATAACCTGCATCAAATTTTAAATGTTTTGGATGATTTCCTTAATGCTTAGTCTATGACAGTCAACTGCAGCTACAGGAAACGGACTGTAATGGGGAATCTATGCTGAAATTGTCCCTTTCCTCAAATTATTACCCTTGATTCTGGACCTAACTGAAATACAAATGTAGGTGTAATGAAAACATGTAATGCTGAGATCGCATGGTGTCCTGTGCACCCAGGGACCCTTACAGATTCAGGG